TTGAATAATATATGATAAATATTTAATTGACTAACTTGTATAGATTATATTTATGTATGTTTTACTCATAAATAATAGTCTTTCCAAAATTCATTATAAATAGTAGCGTATGGATCATCAAATACTTGAACACTTGGGTTGGGATTTAAATTCTTAACTTTTGGCACATTTTCATCACTCAATAATTGCGGCCAATTTGGGTCCGGAGTACTTAATATACAACAAAAACTTATATTAGATAAGAAAAACAGATAACAGATAACAGATATAACATTTATTAGTGCACAATCAACTAAAAGCACTAAAATACTAATAAATATTATAAGACTTTACCCATATTTAGCGAAATTAGTCCACATTTTCATGACGTCCCGACTGAACTGTCTCTCCGTGTCGGTGAACGGCATTTGTTGGCCGGGTATGAAAGGCACGCCAAACACAAACGGTATTTCCATGCCGTGGCCTATGCCGGAGATCTCATCATTACATTTATACATCTCTGCGAACGACTTGCTCTGAAAAGTCAATTCATAAAAGTAGACATTTTTGCCATTATTTCGACCATTTGTGGCAAATTGTTTGGCGAACAGAAATGTCGGCATTTTCATGATTATATCACCAAAAAAGTCATAAAACCCTCGTCTCAGAGCCAGTGAACTACTTGTGTCGCCATTTTTGACATAATAGTTGACCACTTTTTGCACGTCTATGTCCTTAAATATTTGGTTTACTATATTAACGGATGTCTTAAAGTCATCCAAAGTCAGGTCATCCTTGGCTGGGAGTATACCTCTGGACAGTACTGATCCCTCGTTTGATAAACAACCGGCCATTAAATCAATGTCTATAAGAAATGTATCAAAAACAATATATTTAAACTTAAATTTAACATTTCTCTTACATTATAACTGTATTTAATAAAAACTAATACATTAAATATATATGAGAATAATTTTATAACATTAATTTCATGTTTATTAAAAATTATTTTAATATACCTGAATAGTATAGTTTATCTTGGAGTGCCTGTTGTGTAGGTAAGGGCAGGTATTCTGTGCCCACCAGTGGAAAGTTGGTTGGGTTTGCGTACTTAACCAACTCTTTTGCGTCAACTTTTCTCAGGAACTCTAACCAATCCTCAGATTCACTGCATTTCAGTTGTTTAGCTAATCCTTTGGCCTGAGCTAAGGCTTCAGATTTGGTGATCACATCCCTGTCCTTATTATACAAATGGGCACCGCTTTGCATAATAGCCCTCTTAAACAGACCCTTTGATAGGGGAGACAATATATGCGCCGATATGGACCAACTGCCGGCGCTGCCACCAAATATAGTGATCTCATCCCTATCCCCACCAAAAGCATGAATATTATCTCTCACCTACAATTATATTAACAAGCAAGTAAGTAAGTAAATTACTGTACAATATTTTATATTGCTTTATAGAAATTAAAAACAATAATTTTATACCCATTTGAGTGCTAATAACTGGTCATAAAAACCCTGATTTCCGGGCGCGTCCTCCCGACCTCCATATAGGAAGCCTAAGGGACCTAATCTATAGTTTGCGGCCACAAACACGATGTCATGTGTGGCCAGTGGTCCGCCGTTAAACTTTGAGATGGACCCCGTGGCTAATCCCCCGCCATATATCCAAAACATGACTGGTTTTAGAGATGTTTGTTTCGATGAGCTATTGTTTCCCATATTTGGTGTCCATATGTTTAGTACCAAACAGTCTTCGTCCTCAACGTACGTATTCGATGAGTACTGGGAAGCCCTTTGTGGACAGGCATTGCCCATTTTGGTGCCATCCATAATACCCTTTCATATATTACTTATAATTAATAAATAAATAATAAATAGTATTATTTAGAAAACTCACATCAAATGGCTTTTGAATGGGAACTGGTTTTGCGAATCTAAGGGCACCGACCGGTGGTTCGGCGAACGGTATGTTCAGAAACTGGTCAACACTGGTGTCCAACACGTGAATAGTCTGTCCCCTCACTCGACCAGAAGTAGTGTTCACAACAACACTGTTATCACCGTTTGAAGTCATTATTATTTTTAAAAATAATTTATATTTACATAAATAACTATTTATATTTAAATATTTAATTAAATTAAACTTCAATTAATTATGACAATAATAATCAAAAATATTACACAGTAATAATTATGTTATTTCATTTTATAAAACACATAACTGTGCATAAATAATAGTTTTATAACTTATAACTTCACTGATTAAATTATTTATACAGATAGATAAATATGAATTGATAAATAAATAATTTTATTGATATAAAGTACTACACATCTGATTAAAATATTGTATATAACCTTCACTACTCTCTATTTAATAGTAAACGTGCTTTATATTAATATTAAAACATTTAATTATTAAATTATTTTTATATTAAATGTTAACGATTTTTATATACCATAATAATAATGAATAACAATTTATATGTATATGTAATTTACATATTACCGAAAAATTAAATTAAGTTACAATTTTATTAAAGAGTTATCAATATCAATTCTTGAATGCTAACATGCAAAGCTAAACAAAATGCACTCAATTATGAATAAAGCCATAGATACATAATTAAATAAACATTAAATAATGTTTTCAATTCAATTTCGTTGTACTCATTGTCATAAAATATTCAAAAAAAATAAAAATAATTTTTTTTTAAAACATTAACGTTAAATATGCTGATAAATTAATTTTACTAAATCAATAATTTTCATAAAACTTTCATTTTTAATCGTTTCATTTAAATTATTTTATAATTAATTAAATTACGTACAGCATTATTTTTAATCAATTAATAATTTAATTATAAATTCATTTACAAATAATAGTCTTTCCAAAAGTCTTCACACGGAGTATGAAAAGGATTATTCAATACTAGGCTCATATTATCCGGGTTAAGGTCACGAACCTTTATCTCATTTTCATGTAATATTTGTGGCCATATTTCATCCGGGTTACTATAAGTACCATAAAACATATTCAAATAATAAACAATTAAAAATAATAATTTATAGCATTTTACCCATATTTGGCAAAATTAGTCCAAATGCGGACAATCTGTTTACTGAACGCAATATCTTTGGCTGAATATTGTTGTGGGTTAATGAGGGGTATACCAAAAGGGAACGGTATATCCATGCCGTGACATACACCCATAGTCTCTGGTTTNTCGTTGGGCAAATTGTTTTTTAGTCTAGGTTTTGCCTGGATATATTTTGCATGCTGCACTGGGAGAGCAGGCAAGTTTAACTTATTACAATATTTTAAATATTTTATTATTTCTATACTGTAATAATTGTATTATTTAGGTATTTTGAACTCGGTCCTTTCATGGCATGGCTTTCAACCCATAGCCCGGCTATCATTTGGCATTTATATCCTCCACTATCTGGTGGTTATGCACCGGATATTCACCAACCATTACACATACGTTATGTCCGATAAATATATGGTAGCTAGGACAATATGAAAATAATTAACCATGTTTAATATTTCTTATGATTTTATGTGAAACAGTTCGAGCATTTGGTGATTGATTTAATTTATGACATTATACTGGCGTATATTTTTTACATACTCATCGAAAGTCCATTCACCAATATGTTTGCCCTGGTATTTGCACCGATAGTACCCACTGACAAGTCACTGACAAGTGATAAAAATATGGACATTAAAAATAATAATATCAATAATGGTGTTATGAATGGAAAGCATATTATTACTGATACATCGGATACTAAATTATAAACAAATTGTAGTTTAAATATATTTTAATTTATAGTTATTTTTGTAAATAATTACTTTAATAAAATCATTATACGAAAACTAAATATTACAAAGTACATTATACTTAAAGTACTCAATAATCAGTACAAGTAATTGAAATTAATATAAACCAATTAGACTTGGATATGGCTTATGCAAACACTACACTGTGATAATATCATTACCAAGTACAGTACATTACTGTCGTGGATAATAATGTCATACAAATCTGTATAAAAACAAGAAATTATGATATATTTTATAAAAGTAAAATATAATTACTATATTTAAATTAAGAATAATACAATAACCAGTTTTAAACAAAAATGCTTATTAGTATTAAATGTAATTGTTTGATATTGTTTGTAATTTTCTACACTAAATATACGATTTGTATTGATGTGAACACGAGTAGTCCACATCACTCTCCAGAGTGATATCTACACAACTTGTGTTCTGTTGACCAGTTTTTGGGTATACCTTATGCCGAACCACCGGTCGGTAACCTCCGGTTCGCTAAACCCCAGCCTATTAAACACCCAAAAGTAATTGAAATTATAAAACTAACTTTTTGTAACACATTATAAATATAATATTTGTATTGAAGGAAATAATTGACGCCACAAAAGAGAAAAATACATGTATGCAAGTAATTGGAGGTCCCGGTCCACTCATGAACTTAACCTACAGTGAGGACTGTTTGGTACTAAACATATGGACACCTAATGTGGGAAACAATGCACCGGCACCGGCACTAAAACCAGTCATGTATTGGATATATGGCGGGGCTTTCATATACGGGTCGATATTCATGGAGTTTATGCATAACGGGAGTGCATTGTCTACATATGATGTCGTTGTGGTGACCGTTAACTACAGGTTAGGACTCTTTGGTTTCCTGTATGGGGAACGGGAGGACGCGCCCGGAAATGTCGGACTACACGACCAGCTATTAGGACTAAAATGGGTATAAATTAACAAAATTTAAATAAATAACTGAAAAATATGATAAAGGTGATTTATTGGTCGAATAGGTTCGAGACAATATTCATGCATTTGGAGGGGACAAGGATCAGATCACTATATTCGGTGAGAGCGCCGGTAGTATCTCAGTCTCTGAACACATACTGTCCCCATTGGGTAAGGGCCTGTTCAAGAGGGCTATTATGCAAAGTGGAGCGCATATGTACTATAAGGAAAAGGATGTCTACGATGTCGACCAATACGTGAATCAAACCAAACAAATAGCAAAGCAATTGAATTGTAGTGAAGCCGAGGATTGGATCCAATGTTTGCGAGGAATCGATGCAAAAGAGTTTCAAAAATACTTTGCTTTTCAGGTCTTCCCATTCATTGGCACTGAGTTTCGTAATATAACCGCACAAAAGGCTTTCGATGACATGAAATTCAATTCAGGTATGACCAGGATTAGTTCATTCTATATATAAACTTAAAATATGTTTTATCTAAATGCGTTTATAGACATAGACCTGTTAGCCGGTGTAACCCGAAAGGAGGGCTCATTACTGGCACACCTCGTAAACCCGGATAACTTTACTGTCGATAGTTTCAAACAGTCTGTCATTAATACAAATGCTATG